AGCAGCTCCAGTGTTTCACTGGGTTCAAGTAGAAGCAGTTCCAGTTATGCATTGAGTTCAGGCAGCCGCAGCTCTATTGTTGCACTGAGTTCACGTAGCAGCAGTTCCAGTACCACTTTGAGTACAAGTAGCAGTAACTTCAGTGTTTCACTGAGTTCCAGTAGCAGCAGCTCCAGTGTCTCACTGAGTTTAGGTAGCAGCAGCTCTAGTGTCTCACTGAGTTCAAGTAGCAGCAGCTCCTATCTCACACACAGTTCTAGCAGAAGCAGTTCCATTTTTTCACCGAGTTCAAGTGGCAGTAGCTCCAGTGTCTCATCGATTTATAGTAGCAGCAGCTCCAGTGTTGCACTGATTTCAAGCAGCAGCAGCTCCATTGTCTCAAATAGTTCTAGCAGCAGCAGATCCATTGTTTCAAAGAGTTCAAGTGGCAGTAGCTCCAGTGTCCCATCGATTTCAAGTAGCAGCAGCTCTAGTGTTGCACTGAGTTCAGGTGGCAGTAGCTCCAGTATGTCATCGATTTCAAGTAGCAGCATTTCCAGTGTTGCACTGAGTTCAAATAGGAGCACCTCCAATATTGCACTGAGTTCAAGTGGCAGTAGCTCCAGGGTCTCCTCGATTTCAAGTAGCCACAGCTCCAGTGTTGCACTGAGTACAAGAAGCAGCAGTTCTAGTACCAGTTTGAGTTCAAGTAGCAGTAGCTCCAGTATTGTACTGAGTTTAAGTGGCAGTAGCTCCAGTGTCTCATTGTTTTCAGGTAGCAGTAGCTCTAGTGTCTTACTGAGTTCGCGTAGCAGCAGCTCAAGTGCTTCACTCAGGTCAAACATCAGCAGTTACAGTAACGCACTGAGTTCAAGTACCAGCAGCTCCATTGTGGCACTGAGTTCAAGTAGCAGCATCTTCAATGTCTCATTGAGTTCAAGTAGCAGAAGCTCCATTGTCGTACAGGGTTCAATCAGTAGCAGCTTTAGTGTCTTATTGAGTTCAAATAGCAGCAGCCCCAATGTTGCAGCGATTTCAATTAGCAGCAGCTTTAGTGTTTTACTGAGTTCAAGAAGCAGCAGTTCTAGTGTCTCATTGAGTTCAGGTATCAGCAGCTCCACTATCTCACTGGGTTCAATCAATAGCAGCTCCAGTGTGGTAATGACTTTAATTAGAAGTAGCTCTAGTGTTGTACTGAGTTCAAGTAGAAGCAGCTCCAGTATTTCATTGAGTTCAAGTAGCAGCAGCTCCATTGTCACACTTATTTCAAGTAGCAGCAGCTCCAGTGTCTCATCGACTTCAACTAGCAGCAGCTCCACTGTCTCACTGAGGTCGAGTGGCAGCAGCTCCAGTGTTTGGCCGAGTTCAAGTAGCAGTATCATATCAAGTTCAGTTTACAGTGTCTCACCAACTTCCATTAGCCCAATTGTCTGTAAGTGCTATGCTATACGTAATTTTTTCCCTTGAACAGCGTTACCTGCACTTCTTAAGGTCGTCAGTATATTGGTATCTCACAGTACTATTTGTTGCATATATGTTTCAGGTAACACAAAAGTCAGTTTTGGGGGGTTATGCTTAGAAAGCATTCATCTTTTTAGATATATCAACAAAGTTCAAATGGTAAATTGGCCACCGTAACGATTTCAAAAGCTGACGTTTCGAGCGTTAGCCCTTCGTCGGAGCAAATAGAGGAATTGTGGGTTGTGC